TGATTCGATATACAAGGCTTTGAGTTTTTCCAGGTGGTCGACGCCTCGAATTTGTGTATGATGATGGTAGTGCCCTGGTCTGGGACAGTTTACAGACCTGTGAAGCAATGTTGGACGGACTTACGCTGTTTGTCAACCGTATTGAGGGGCGTTTTACACACTCAAGCTGAAAACCTTTCACTCAGGATTGTATAAGACCAACAGATGCGCGGACTTTTGGTGGGGACCAGCTAGAAGTCGTTCAAAAATTTACTTGCCTAGGCAGCCATACCGACGCCAATGAAGTAGAAGTTAAGGTCACAAATCGTATAGTCAGAACTTGAGGTGCTCTTGCTTGTCTTCGCTATTTATTGCGTCGGTGTGACAGCACTCTCGAGATTCGCATTAAGAGGTTAAGCATACTTTGTTTGTCCTCCCTGACTACGCTGCTACAAATTGTGACCCGCGAGCAGCCGAAGATTGTATATCAGGGAATAGACTGGGAACCCAATCAGAATTCATAATTCCTGAAGGTTCTCTACCAAAATTCGGTGTTGTAAGGATTTGTTTTACGACAACGTTTCACCCTTGACACTAGAGCTTCTTCAGGCCAGCAAAAATTGCTTTTACTGACAACTATATGACTTTCTGCGTTTCTCCGAATAGATTGGTATTGTCATTTTTGCCGGAGATTTCGGCGCACGAGCGGGCCGTCTGTCACTAAGCGAACACCATCTAGTTTTGGCCTCGATAGCAGTCGATCATACAATAGGGACAGACTACTAACTCTTTGTTTCCGTCATCGCTTGTTTCTTTCGAGCTCCAGTTCACGACATTCGAAGAGAAAGTACGCTACCTGGCGCCCGCCTTCTCACCTGCAAGAGTGGTCCCAGGTTAACCACATAGCAGATGGCGCGGAAGCGTAACAGATTGCCTACTCTACTGGTCAATTTGTATGGACTCTGGTTACGCGTTGTTTCGTGCTAAGGTTGGGAGGCGTTTCTTAGGGTCGCACAGGCTTACGCATTACCAACTGAACGTAACAAATCTACGAAATCCGACAAGCTTAACCAACTACCAAGCCTGAATGTCAACGTTACTCGGCTCGGCTTCTGACGATGGTTCACAAGTGGTGCAAATCAAGGACGTCTTAGTTTCTGCCATATCGATAATTGTGGGGTTGCCCGTCACCCGCTGAATACTGAGAAGCTGTATCTTCATTGTCTCCGTATCGCTTGTGGAAAGGCCATTCAGTCCCGGTTGACACTAGTTGTAGTGAAGAGCGCTATTCACTGGATTGAGAATTGCGCAGGGGTTTACAAATGGACCGCAAACCTGTTGGTTTAATGTGCTGAAGAGCGTAGTCATTCTGGTAGTACCAGGAAACTTTTCCATCTCATTCGAGCCATCGAAGGTATCCGGTTTAGTTTAACTGAAACAATCTGTGAAGATAATTGCTCCATAATCACCAATCTTCAACGACAGTTGTAGCGATGGGCCGAACACTTTGGCTACCAGTTTTTTTGCTCCAGCTCCATCTGCTTTCTCTGGCGTGTGGACTGTTGTTGAGCGGACTATCTCCACGTATCCTCTCTCCAGCAACTCTGGCAAGAACACCGCCTACTGGAGCGTTATAAAGCGCCCGACCACGATGGTCTACCTACCGATGTATGTAAAGATGGTGGCTATTACTTTGCACAAAGGCTCTGGTGTTTCTAACCTCCAGCTAACGTGTATAATGGTTCGATAACTCAACGATTTTCTCCAAAAAAAGTCTGTTCAAAACAATCCATCGTGTTTGGGGGAAACAATCGTCGTCCCATGCGTACAGTGTGCTCCAACTACAGGGATATTAAATTCTTTTTCCTTCGTTTGCAAGCTCCTGGTGTCCATCGTGCATCGCAGACTATTTCCAGCGCTCGAAACACTATATCAGGAAGAACAGGCCGGGTTTTCGCTCTGGTCTTAACCGCATCGATCAAATTTTCACACACTGTCAGGTCCTCGAGCTCCGTCACGTATATTAAACGGCAGTGGTTGGATGTTCTTGTTGCTTTCAATTCTGTCGACAGGATTGTATTGTGACACTATCTGTCGAGGAATTGCGTTCATGAGAAGTCCCTTACCGTACTACGTGCTCTCTGTAATCTGACGTCGGGTAAAGTTGGGGTTTGATACAGAAGTTAAGACTTATAGCGTGTTTTCGCCTTCCTTTGTCGTCACAATTCCTCTTCGACTTTGCCACTGAACATGTCCTCAAGAATTTTACGTGTCGTATAGCCTCCCCGGAATCTAAAAAGTAAAGTCTGGGCGGCACTCACAAATTCGTTATTAAAAAGATTCGAGGTTATTTATTGGGTACATAACTTAAAACCACTATTCTGCTGTGGCCTGTTCACTGGCTGACCCTTGTTAACTGGCGTATCGTTGACTACATTCCATTCGTTCGTGCTTGCTCTCCAGACGGGCCGATCCACGCTTGCCATCGTTACATTTAGCCTATTTGCTGCCACCCCCGATAGATTGCACGATCGGCTATTGTGGGTGGCTTCTGATTGGTCTTCCGCTCACTTGATGGATGCTACGTGGACAACACGAATAGGCTTTACCAGAACGGACTTCACATACATTGGGTGCTCAAGTGCAGCTTCAGCACTTGATCCGAAAAAATTGTCACCCACCTCTTCGTCTTAATCATCTGACCAATGCTAGAGTACGCCTCAGCTGCTTACTGTCCTATCACCCTGGGCGCGGTACGAAGGATTGAGCGGGGACAACATGTAGTCACCAGACTCATTCCCAGTTTACGCGATGCGCATACGAAGACCAGTACAACAGGCTAGAACGTTACACCCTGTCTTCTTGTTGAGTGCCGGTTTAACAATCGTATTAGTAGTATCCCGATACGCAGTACGGACGCTTCGCTGGCGCGCAACCATCAGCATTCGCGCTTGAGCTACGCAACCTGCGAGGGTAGCCCGGTCCCTACTCAAACTCGAATCCGCGCCATTGGATTACAAGGCAGGTCTGTGGTCCTTTAGGCTACAAGTCGGTCGGGTCGAGTTCGTTGTGGCGCACCGGATGTTAAATCTTGGTGATGACCCCATGTTGATGCCGCTGCTTCATATGCACGCAACAAGCAACCCACGAGGACACCGATAGAAGCTTGTAGTACTGAATATGAAGTCAGTCGCATACTAACTCTAATTCGAACGGAAAGCAGTGAGTGTATAGAACTACTTGCTGCCGCACGTGGTCGTAGCAAAGTCGGTGTCGGAATTTAAAAGTTCCTTGATTAGCACCTTGCCGATATGAAATATCTGGAATGATCGCCAACACGATTGGTGCATCGACGTCCATTCTTTTCCGCGTCGTGCATTGTTTGCAGTCTCTGGGCAGGTCTAAACGAAGCGGCGTAGTAAACAACCTGCAACTTGTAGAAGCAGCCAGAAAAGGCTACCAAACTAGTTGGCTTCGGTCGGTTGGTCTAAACTCCTTGGTTGGGGTCACAGAGATGCGGGGCATAGCTGTTTAGAAATCCTGTAATTTATAGCTCAGGACTGACGTCAGTTGAAGATATGTATCTCAACATCTTGCAGCCATCCACTTTCGTCTCGTAATGAGATAAATAAATGATTATATATATATATATATATATATATATATATATATATATATATTAGGTAGCCGTCCAGTTGACCACATGAACTAAGATCAACATCCTGATCAATGCTCCTATACTTTCAGTTGCTGCTCCTATGGCCCCACCGACTGCGTTTCCGATCCTGCTATAGACGAGTTTTATCTTGGTAACGCGCTACCCCGTAGCGTCACTAGTTCAGATATCGTTTTAAATGCAGACATGAATGCACTAGTGGGTCGTTCTAGTCCCCCAAAAGCTGAGCTAGGTGATAAGTTGTATCTTAACTCCAAACGCACAAACAATAATACAATTATTGCAACTGTACGCGGCGAATTGTTTGTTTGTAAGGAGCACTACCTTTAGATACAATGAGTTCAGATATACCCGCTTGATTTCTTTTGATAACTGGCTAATGATGGGCTCAACTAGTAGCCTACATCCTCGTTGGCTTTAGGCAGTTTGGTTCCGTCCTTAAGTACCTTTCGTTTTCCTTTGATACTTATTTTCCACAAACTTTTTCGCGAGATGTGCCACAAACGATTCTGTTAATTACCGAACAATTGTCTCTATCAAATGCTGGGCAAGCACGTCAGGATTCTCTATAGTAAAGTATTATTTAACTGGTCTGAGGATTAGACTCTCCGCTTCTGTACGATGCAGAACTTCCTGCTCGCAGCTCACTGTGCGTGATGGCTGCTGTGTACCATGCAATAACCATTGCAGTCGTATGAGCTACTGCATCATAACGCGCTTGTAGCTGACGGACGTCTGATCGAGCAGAGCCGTTCTTCCACCTATCTGGAAATGGGCAAATTATGCCATCGTATCTAATCAGATCTATCTTAGCCAAGATTAAATACAACTACAAGTGTTATTGGTGTTGTTTTTCATGCTCCATCATTAAACCACAGGAGCGCTGCTTAATATGCTCTTATTTAGTAAACTACCTGATCATCTCAGAGTAAAGGGAAATTACTCTTGGTTTTTATTCTTATACCACATACTTGGTATCGCTATAATGCAATGATTGGCACTGCAAGGTAATTAAGCTTTTTTTATTTAAGTGGAATGCATCATCAATGCTCCGTATTAATGCTTCGCTTCTATGCAATTGCAAAAGATTGTACTTGTTAATTGATACTGCAGAGGCGTCCAGATCCTTGGGAAATCGGGGACATGGACCCGATGCGATAAGGTTGCAGTCCAAACACCTTAATCAGGACACCACGAATCCCATTTTTTATGAACACACCAACTCCTCTTTGTTAGCTGTTATATGGTCTGTTTATTCTCACTGCTTTCTTTTACACCACCTTTATAACCTCATTTATAGAACTATCACTCTCAGTTTGTGACCTCTCCGAATACCGTGGGTAATATGGCTCTACTTCCGCTGCGGACCAAGTTCCGAGGACCGGCTCCAACCATGCCGGATCTCGAAAAGGATATTATCGATGAAGCTCTGTATCTTTTCAAGTCTCTTATATTTTTCCGCCAATATGAGATAAAGGTAAGGCGCTAAATTACCGGTTTTCTTATCGATTATTGGGCACACGTAAACATCGGATACTGCCATCATCACTACAAATTCAGAATCTCAGCGCTAAAGACCTATCTATCTATCAGCCTGTAGTAGTCATAGACATTAAACCATTCAAACCCAGGTGGTTAGGAAACATAGAAAAAAGGCAAGATGTACAACACTTGAAAACAACTATTTTGGGGATAAAACACTGAAAGCAGTAAGGTTTTTTCCCACGCAGTTTTCCTCTCTTCTTTTTCTTTAAAAAAGGGGTTAGGTTATTGAAATTTCTAATTTAAGCATTCGGTTTCGCGCCACTGCCTCAAGCGTTGTAAGCCACTGGCATTGGGTCCCCAGTTGTGAAGACACTGCGCCGACGATTACTAGTCAAGATGTCAGTCTACTTGTATTTTGTTGCCAAGCGATCGACTGGACTACTTCAGTGTAGTGCGACGTGGTACACACTTGTCATTCATGCATACGACGCGAACAACCCATCTCAATTAGCCAAACAAAACAAACTCCGAGTGGAAGACCTGTCTTACACAAGATGCGGTGTTTGACATCATCATTGCCCACTCCATGCGTCTAACATGCACGGGGTATTCTCTGCACACAGCCATTGCCAAAGGCCGAAAGCCTACGCCTGTCATCTACACGGAACTGCCAGGATTCACGTTCATAGGACAGTACTTCGCGGACTCTCGCATTGTGGACGCTGACTGTTAAAGAGAGTGAGATGTCAAGGTGACGCCACAGAAGCTTGAATTTGTCAAAAACCGACTGGGTTTTCGCGATACGTAGGGATACCTCCTCCCCAACAACGTCATCGGTAGAAATGCAGCTCCCTTGGTAGACAAAATGATCCACGTGTTCGAGCCGTATGCCTTTGATGGTGAGCGGAGGGTTGGGTGTCTGTCAATTCTGTAACAGCACTTTACACTTTGAGGGGCGAAGCACATACCACACCTAGACACTTCAACCACCAGTCGGTCAATACCACTTGCATATCAAGAGAGTCGTCCCTGAGGAAAGCGGTATCACTAGCGTAATATAAGTCGGTTGCATCATAACCAGAAAGCACTTCGATACTAAAACTCCACAGCCCTTCTAAAGCTCCCAACAGGATATCTTCGTTCGTAAACGGAAATGGAGACACAGGGCATCCTTGTCGAGCACCACGGGTGGCAAGGAAGAGTGCAGACAGCTTGTGCAGACAGCTCTCCATGCAGCATGGTGCTATGGCGACTCACTTTTATTTAACAGGTATCGCCATAAATCAAACCGTTCTACAACTCAAATGCAGCTCGAATGTCCAAGAAAGCGGCGATAGTGTATATGTGGTAGAGGTGACGATATTCGAGGAGTTGACGAAGTGTGAATATTTGATCCACATATCCCTGATATTGCGAAAACCAGGCTACTCCTCCCCGTAGGTATTTCACGCTTTGGGGTTAGCTTCCAAAGCATGATGGATGCTAGTATCTTGATGCAACCGACGTCAGCTTGATACCTCTGTGATTGGATACTGAAGTACTAAACGTTGGTACAATTACTGGCTTTCCCAAAGAAGACGGCACTCTTACTTCTTGCCATATCTTCAGGTACAGGAGTGTTAGCTGGTTGACAACTGTCGTGCCAGCGTACCTGAACAATTCTGGGGAATGTTCATCTGAGCCCACAGCCCTTAGGCGCTTTAGGTGTCGCATCACAAGAAAAGCCTCCGCTTTAGTGGTTGGTTCTAATGACACGGCCCAATTCATGCGGCCCTGTGTGGTGGATGTAAAGTTGAACAGCAAGGAGCAACTGAACTTGGATTCGAAATGCTGTTAATGCGTTTCTGCAGTTAGGTGATTTGCGTCCCACCCCCATCACAGATGACTTCGTTGGTACCAGACATCCTGTGTCCAGTGGTCCGAATAAGTTACATCAGCCTGCGAGTATTTGCAGTGAGAGCGAAGACCCCTGTCTCCAAGGCACGTTGGGGCAACCAAACTTCCAGATTGCCGCGAAGACTTCATTTAATTTGTAGACTGACAATGCGGCGAAGTTCATTATGTTCTTAGTTTACTGAGAGAGTTCTGCGGCGGTCGCACAATGCCGGAGAGCGCGTAGACATCTAACACTTTGTGGGGTGATCAGTTAATCCACAGATTGATTGGCTCGAATTTCGCGAGAAGCTCCGATAGTGTTCATTACCAGTCGGCGAAACGCAGGCTAGTTCATATATCGATGACAGTTGATAGTTCAGCTAAGCCGACTGAGGAGTTAAACTGTTCCTATCGAGTCTACAGTGCTTCCGCTTCGTCACCCTCCGAATCACATACAGATATTCGCACAAACCAGCGCATAATCTGAGTCAAGTTAACTCGTCCAAAATGATCTGCAGTCTTGTATGCTGCCGAGCCACTTAAAACTGGTTGCATTATGGGTTATTTGAGAGCAGGCCTGCGTTGGTGTTAAGTGTACACGGGCATAACCAGCGCTAGCGTACAAACGCAATGCTGACTCATAACCGAACGATGCAATAATAACTAATCACACCTGGCTGGTAGCACACAACGTGTATTTTGGCAAATGCGTGTACAGTATATATTTATATTTATTCATAGTCTGTTAACAGACATTGTGCCATCAGAACCATGGCAGAAGGAAAAAGTGAAGAAGATGGGAACACTAATGCGATTAAAAAATATGGGAAACTATTTTTTGGTTTTACACACGCCATTTTGTATTTTTTGTTTTGTTTTGTGAATTTTTGGGTGCATCAAAGGTATGGTGAAATTGCAGAACAACATTGACGCCACTAATATCTGTTGCGGGCCATGACGTCTAATGTTTCCAACCACTGCGATTCAGCATCTCATGGTCCCCAACCTGGAAGGCGGGTTGGTCTGACTACCGCCAAACTTGAGGTTGCCTTCTTCATACTCCTTCTCCACATCATCGGCTGTCCACCACGGCACTTTTTCTAATCGTTCCCTGGGAGTGCAAATAGCGCTCGACGTGGAAGGCGATGGGCTGGCATGCGCAGAACGTGCCCAAGCCAACGCATGCGATGTTGGAGAATAACGTCCTGTAGACTGGCACTATTCGCCCCAAGCACGCGGTCTGTCACCTCTGCGTTGCTTACGTGGTGTTGCCACCACACCCTAGCAATCCTTCGTAGACAGCGATTATCAAAGACTGATAGCCGCTTCATATCTTCCGAGCGAATAGGCCAAATCTCACAGCCGTACAAGAGTACCGCATTGTACACCCTGCCCTTGAGCTTGAGACTGACATCACGACGACGCCATAGATGTCTCAGTTTGATGAATGCAAGGTGGGCCTTTGCACTCCGTTGTGAGACTTCATCTCCAACACCGCCACCAGCCGTGATGCAACTCCCTAGATAAATAAAGCAAGGGAATTGCTCCAGAACATGTCCAGCAATGGTGAGCGCGGGTTCAGGCACCTGCCAGTCCTGGAGCAGCGTTTTACATTTTCCCGGAGTGAAGCATAGGCCGTACTTAGACGCCTCCATCGCCAAGCGGTCCAGAGCGCTCTGGACGGATTGTGGGTCGTTCCCCAGCAAGGCGATATCATCGGCGTAGTCCAAGTCCGTGAGTCTGTCTCCAGGGAGGAGCTCAACACCGCAGTCCTGGACACCTTCTAGTGCTCATTGGAGAACATCTTCGGTGGCGAAATCGAAGAGGGAAGGTGAAATAGGGTAACCTTGGCGAACACCGCTGGTCACAACAAATGAAGAGGAGTGCGTACCGTAAGCCCTAACTTTGCCCGACGTGTGACTGTAAAGTACTTTCAGGATAGTTACAAACTTGTCAGGCACACCTTTCTTCAGTAAACAGTACCACAACGAAGATCTATCTACTGAATCAAATGCCGCTCGGATGTCCGAAAACACTACGATTGTTGGCCGCCGGTGGATGTGACGAAGTTCGAGAACTTGCCGAAGCGTGAAGATTTGGTCAATGCAGCCGCGGCCTGGACGAAATCCGGCTTGTTCTTCTCGGGAAAACTCCTCTCTAGTCGTTGAAAGCCTGCCAAGTAGGACTGACACGAAGATTTTGGATGCGACAGAGATTAGGGAGATTCCGCGGTAGTTGCAGCAATCGGCGCGGGAGCCCTTCTTGTGAATCGGAACAATGACCGATTCTCCCCATGAACTCGTAACCTCCTCAGTCCAAACTTTCGTGAACAGCGATAGGATTTCGCTGATAAGTACACTCCCACCATCTTTGAATAGAGCCGGTGGTAGATTGTCGGGACCCGAAACCTTGTGGCGTTTCAAAGATTGGATTACATTTCGAATCTTTGCTTCATTTGGAGTGGTAGATGTGGAGACAGGCCAAGCATCATACTTTGGGGCTGGAAGTGCCGCAGGGTGCGGTGTTGGGTGGTTGAATTGAAGAGCGAAATGCTCAGCCCAGCGACCCAATCGCCTGTGAAGGTTGGTGATCTTCATGCCGTCTGCTTCGCAAATCGTCTGGCTGATAGCGTGGAAATTGCAACCAGTGGCCCTGATGATGTAAAACAGACGGCGGAAGTTGCCAGCTGATGCAGCGGCTTCCATCTCATCAGCTTGTTTTGACCACCTAGATTCACGATCAGAGCGAAGACTTGATTTCAGCTGTTGCGTAATGGACCGGCGGTGTTCGTTGTACTCTGCGCCAGCAGGCACCGCCCGTCGACGATCCAGCAATTCTGAGGATCTTCCCAAGATCCAGCATTTGGGAGTGGAGCAAGTGAGGCCACAGCTGGACAAACCGGCCGACAACAAGGCTTGTTGCAGACTTGACCAGTGTTGATCAACATCCAGTGTGAGAGAGAGAGCTTTTCGCGAAGCTTTTGTTGATACTTGCCGAACTACCTCCTCGTGGTGCCAGCTGGGTGGTTCGGGTGTACCCCGTTCCAGCAAAGTGTTCGGCCACAATGTTCCACCTCCGTGGGGCATTGTATTCCAGCAATCGTGCTGACTTCATGGA